TACTTTGCTACTGGATAAGGAGGCTTGAGGAAGGGATCATCTTATATTTTAGAAAGGTCATGCTGGCTGCAGTGTAATTGATTGGAGTGGGTGGACCGAGAGGGTAGACAGAGACCAGTTGCAGGCCGAAGTGACATCGATGTAGTATAAAAAATGTACAAACATGTCACTTTTAGGATTCAGAACCAGTAGGACTTGATTTATAAATTTTTTTTTGGAGAAACAAAATGGCAGAGTGGTGATCAACATCACATTTCAGCTTCTCTGAGATCCAGGATCCATACACTGAAAAATAACAACTTGGCAAAGAAAAAAAGAGAAATAGATTGCTGGGAATTGGGAAGGAACTAACGGGAAAATGAGAATCTGGAGAGACACAGTCCACAACACAGAGGGAGAAAAAAAAAAAACAAAAACAATCTGGATTCTGTCCCCAGCTTATGGCTCTTGGCTACGCTCATGGCTCGCTGATCTGAGATCTGACTGCCTTCCCTATACACCATTGTGAGCAAGGGGATTGCCACTACCCTAAACAGAGGCTTCTCTGGAATAGTAGTAGTAGGGGCACCACACAACCTCACAGGCCGTCAGGTTAAAACCATGCATCTTGCTGGACTCCAAAACTGTGGATCGTGGAAGGAAACCATACCTTCAAAAAAGGAGATTATTTTGTTTTGTTTTTTGACTCACTTTCTTCCTGGTTTTTGTCCCTCTTTTCTCTTTCTTTTTCACTGGTTTATGGGGGTTTAGGGGAATTTTCCTTTGTCTTTTTTTCTTTCTTCTTTTACTTATCTTTTTCTTTTTTTTCTTTTAATTTTTTTCTATATTTATATCCATATTATTTCTTTTTCTCTCTTTCTTTTATCTTCTAGTTCTCATTGTTTTTTTTTTTCTGTTACTTTTTTTTTTTGAGACAAGGTCTTGCTATGCAGTTCACACTGGCCTTGAGCTCACTGTGTAGCCCAGGCTGGTCTCGAACTCACAATGAGCCTCCTGCCTCAGCCTCCCGAGTGCTAGGATTACAGGTGTGTGCCACTACACCCGGCTTTTCCCAGTTACCTTTATCTAATTCTATAACTATCCTTCCACTCCTTAATAGGATGCTTAGTTTCACTTTTCTCTCCTCTTTCTCATCACTTAATTTTTCAATTTTTTCTTCTCACATTCTCCCATTCCCAACTGCTTATATCTTTTAATAGTATAATTATTAAGCTGTATTTATATTTAGTTAGTTAATTCTGTATTACTACTATTGAATTGTTTTCTATCATTAGTAGAGGTATGGCAATTACTGGAGCTTTGCTGTATGTCAATATTTGGTTTGTTTCAGTGTTTATAGTATAATAATGGATTTCTTTTCTAAGGTTAAGTGTTGGTACATTAATTGGTTCTTATGGTCAAAATCCAGTTTGTCATGGAAAAATTGATTTACTTGGTGTCCCATCCAAGTACTAACCAGGCCCGACCTGGCTTAGCTTCCGAGATCAGACACGTTCAGGGTGGTATGACTGTAGATGATTTATTTGGTACTACCAAGGTTGCATAGGTGTTGCTATTAATAGGTTTTGTCTATATGCCAATACCTGGAAGAACTGGGTGTTGGGCCAATTACACTGCCATCTCCAATCCAAATTAATAGAGGTAGACAGAGGCAAAACACTATAGTTAGCTATGCCTGAGTCAATCACTGAAAAGCAGACTAACTAAAGAGCTCTCCATACTAACAACCAAATCTCTCTACTATAAGCAACCACAAACCTAAGAACAAAACAAAACAAACGAACAAACAGCAGAAACATGAGAAGACAAGGTAATTAAATGCCTCCCCAAACTCCCAACTTTTCCAACATTGACTCTTGGAGCTTTGAGAGGGAGGTAAGCGAAAGCCACACAGCTGAATTATTCAAAAGAATAACAGAAAAGATTAAAAAACAAATCAATAAGGTGCTCAAAGGGGTCACAGACAGTATTAGATCAATCAGGGAACTTACAGAAGACCCTGATAAGCTAGCTGAGATGAAATGATACATGATGAACCATTTAGCAAAGAATTAGAATTCATGAAAAGCTTATACACAGACATCCAGGAAATGAAAAATTGGAAGGATGAGCAGCAGTAGTGACCAGTGTGAGGACAAAATACCAGAATTTCAAAAACTAGTTACTCAGAGAAACCTTGAAAGCACAAGAAAACATAGAAAATGGATCTGATAGCTGCTAGATAATGAAAAGAAGGCTAAGATTAAATGGGTAAATGACATACAGAAATTATGCAGACACATAGAAGTTAACAGTACCCTTTTGAATAATTAATGGGTTATAGAAGAAATGAAGGAAAAAAATTAGACAGTTTCTGGAATCAAATGGTAGTGCCAGAGCAACATACCAGAATCTATGGGATACGATGAAAGCGGTCCTAAGACTGCTTACACCTGTGAACGCCCACCTCAGAAAATCAGAGGGAGTCCAAATAAATAACCCAGTGACGCACCTGAGCATCCTAGAGAAACAAAACCAATCCAAATCCAAAGCTAGTACAAGGAAGGAAATTTTAAAGTTCAGAGCAGAAATTAATTACTCTGTGTTACAAGTGTCCTAAGCTGGGTCAAGTGCTGAGGACCCAGAAGTGAAGCAAAGCAGTCCATGCGCTCTAGCAGCCCCGTAGGGAAGACAGATACAGAACCCACTGACTTTGACTGCAGTGTGAAGAGTTCAGTCACAGGTGAGCAAAGCCCCGTGGGAACTCAGATGTGTTCGGTCAGATGAACTCTCTTTTAGTTAGTTTCTAGTGCTTCGGCCTTCAATTTTGTTAGAGTTCAATTCCTGACTAGAAACGGACACCTGTCCATGGTATTATGTCAGCCATTAAAGCAATTTTAAAGTATTCACCAATTTTGTTTTTTTTGGGACTTGGAAGCATAGTATCATGTTAGGGTATTTTTGACTTGGTAAGTGAGTCCCCCAACACAGCTTAGTAACTTGCAGGAGTTTTTGGTTGGCGAAGGGCGAAGGGACTGATTTGGTCTTTGATCCTTCACTGGCCATTTGGATGGGTTTGAGCCCTTGTAGTTAGAGGACCAAGGGGCAAAGATGGAAAGAGCTATTCATGACAAGAAAGTAGAATACATTGGGCACAAATCACCTGGGTTAGAGTATGGGTAACAAAAGGGTACAGATATGGCAAGTCAGGGATAAGAACTTCTTCCTCAACTCTGAAGGAAACTCAGCTCAGTTTTGGCATCTTGAAGATTACAAGTTTGGAGGCAGAGACACAGGCACTAGCAATCTATGATGATTACTAGACTCAGTGAAGCTGTGTTGAGCAACGCGGTGACACGGAGGGTTGATGGCTGACTCACATCTCTGAGCATATGTGAGGAACTCCCTTAGAAAAAATGAGGACTTTCTGGGATAGAGACTGAAGCTGAATCATATAAATAGAAGCTTAAACCAGTGAAAATGGACACTGACCATAATTTAGAATCATGATTTTGAAGGCCTGAACAAAATGGGTAAGCTGCAAAGCAAAATCTAAGAACCTAAGCAAAACATTTACTGAATCATACTCCAAAGATCACCTGAAAAACTGTGACCTGAAACATAAATGAGATGGAAAAGAATTACTTGCCTTTGTCTCTAAGACTTAATAAGCAACGGTTTTTTTCATCTGAAACCTGTCTTATTTAAAAGAGAAATGAATTTACCTTGCAATTACCATAAAGACTTGTTGAAAACAGGAAAGAGATAACAAGGGTTTGAACACCCAGGTATTGAGTGCTCAGTAAAGGCTTTCTTTCTTAATATTTTGAAATAAAAACGTTGTTTGGGATATTTTTGGGTAGCAGACTTGAATCCTAGCACTTTTCCTAGCTAAAGGAAAGCACGCCGCACTGCTCACAGCTTCCTCTTTTTCACAGTAACTCTGGCAGAAGCTACCTCTGTCATCCCAATGAGATGGAGGGGACCTTGGGGCTTAATTGTCCTGGTAGCAGAGAGATCCTAAAAAAGAAAGAGTGGCAGTTTAAGACTCTGATGTAGGGCTTTTTGAAGAATTTAGATCGCACCCATACTGACACCTGCGCAAATAGTTGTCTACAGAGACCGCAGGTTACAATTCCCCGAGGAGCTTTAAAAGATTTCTTTGTAAGACCAGTTCCTACAGTATATGAGAATGATAGACATAGGGTCCTGAGTTAGAATGTCGCCGCTGCCACGTAGTTGCAGTGTGACCTTGGCCGCCAGATGCTTAATTTCCCTTTGCCTCAGTTTCCCTGTTTGTGAAATGAGGTTAATTTGTAGGGTTTTGAGGATGAAATGAGTTAATAGAAGAGAGACGTGTAGAACAGGGACTCCACTTAAAATTCTGACAAATACACCAGTACACACACACACACACACACACA